TACTGTCGTTTTCTTCCTGTGTCGTTCTTCCTGCAGGTCCATATCTTGCTGCTCGGCATGTATTTCGGCGCAGAGTGCAGCTTCAGAGATTCTTCCGTGGGCTCGAAGAATGGCTTTGGTGGCGCGCCACTGAGGACCAAGCCCACCAATGATGACTGTCACGAAGGCGTCTTCAGAGATTGACCCTCCGCACCGAAGCAGCTTGTCGCGCAGTTCGCGACATCGGCTGATATACGCCAGTCCTTTTTCTCCTGGTTTCATTTCGACTGTCGTCAACTGCGCCATTAACCTGCTCTGGTTTACACTGTCTGTTGCTTGATACAGGTTCTTCAGATGGCTGTACGCGAGCTCCGCCGAGTTGCCGAAGGTCCGGTAAGAGCGAATGTTCTGCTGCTGAGTTGGTGTCACGTTCCTCAATAGGATTGTATACGCCATCATTGATTGATACGTATACTGCTGCTTTTCATATTGTGTCCCGTTGGCTGGATACTGCAGGGACCCGTCGAAGAAGCCGAGTATCTGCGCGCCCTCCATCATCAGCTCGAATTCAAAGGACCAGGTAAAGAAGTCTTTGCCGTCGAAGGGTCTTGACGTTTGCAGTTTTAAGACGTGTGCAAACTGCGACTGAACTTGAAGTGCGTCCAGTGGTCTTTCTTGTCCAGGTGAAGGTTGCGGGTGGGGCACGAAGCTGATTGACCCGCGCTCGTACGGAGCAAAGGTAGGTTGCTGCTGCTGGTTTCCTCGCGCATATGACGACCCATCAAGACTCATGGGTGTCGCTCCGTTGTTGCTGTTGTGTGTTTGTGCAGGTCCCGACTGCTGGTGTTGTTCGTAGAAGGACATGAAGGAGAAAAATTTCTCCATCATGTTCTGGTCAAAGTCCGAAGGGTGGTTCATGGGGGTCTCGGTTGACGTTCCTCTTGGTCTTGTTGCCGTGCCTTCTTCTGTCTGCAGGCCAGAGGCTGGCGGTGGAGTAGGAGTAGTGCCCGAGGAGCCATTAGGGGAGCTCCTTTCCTTGTTTGTTGCCATGTCTTGTAATGATATTAAAAAGAGTAGAGTTTCCCTTGTCAGCTCTCATACCATGTTGGGCTGAGATAGCCCCTTAGGATCTTTGCAAGGGATAACTCTAGGTGAAGTAGTTGTAATAGCGGAAGCGTTTAGTGAAGAATTTGAACCGACCTTGCACTGGTGTGTGAGAGCAAAGTTGATTTAATTAAACAAGCAAATACAAGGATTTATATAAGAGTACAGGGAATAGATAACTGTATTGCTGTTGCGGTTCGATATAGCGCGACTCGGGCAACTGCTCTGTAACGAGTCAGTTGTGTGTCCTTAACTGTCGCGCTGTAATTGTCGAGTCAAAGGTCAGCGACCTTTGACTTTCTCGTAACCTCCAGGCGGTTACCCTAACCTCCGAGGTTGACTCGATGCTTCGATTGGGACTGCTTCGCTTGGTACCTTGGATTTTGATACGACAGAAGCGCACTTAGGACTTATTGTTTCCAACACGCTGTACGGTGGAGTGCTGAAGCCCGAACCGCTGAAGGACCTGCTGCACCATGTGTGACTGTGAGAGTGTAATGGTGCGAGCGGCTCTGTCCCTGGTGATCTGCAGGCCAAGGTAGTGGCGCAGCTCACCAAGATCAGTGCACGTGTGTCTCTTCTGCAGTTCGGACTTCACGTCTGCCAAAGCAACCCTGTCCGAAGTGGCGAAAACGAGGTCGTTGACGTAGACCAGAACAAAGAACGGTGTGGAGCCACGACGAACGAACAGCGACGGGTCGGCAGAAGACGGCTGGAACCCAAGGTCAGAGAGGGTAGAACGCAGAGTGTCGTGCCACTCACGAGGGGCCTGGCGAAGACCGTAAACAGGTCGCCTCAGCCTCCACTGGGTCCCAGGAGGGAAAGTGCCAGTGAAGGCCGAGGGACGACGCAACCAGACCTCCTCGTGTAGACTGCCCTGAAGGAAAGCAGTGGAGAAGTCAAGAGAGTGTAACTCGTAGTCTCTCTGTGCTGCTACGTGTAGTAACACCCGAAGAGTGGTCATCTTCGGGGTAGGTGCGAAGGTCTGAAAGAAGTCAACTCCCTCGCGCTGACTGAAACCTCTAGCCACATAGCGCGCCTTGAAGACCGGGGGAGATCCCGGTGGCCGCTTCACCCTGTAGATCCACATGCCGTCGACTACGTTCGCCCCAAGGGGGGGAACCTCATCGACGTAGGTGCCTGTGGATCTGTAGGAGGCCATCTCTGCGTCCATGGCAGCTCTCCACTGAGAGGCCCAAGGCCCTGACACTGCCTCAGCGTAAGTGCGAGGAGTCGGAATGTCAAGGGCGTCGGGGTCACCCTCAGGGGCGAGGAGCATGGCACAGAGATGAGGGGAAGCGGCCGCCAGGAACTCTAACTCAAACTGCCTGTCCTCTAGGGCGTCACAGCCAAGGGCAGACACACCCCCGACGGCCAGAGGACTGGTAGGAGGAGCAGCCACAAGCGTGGTGGCGTAGTCAAGGCGACGGGTAGAGGCAAAGTCAGTAACTGCGGCAGTAAGAGCGGACACAGAGGACACAGAGGCACGAGGGTGAGTAACAAGAGAGGCGAGAACACGAGAGAGAACAGGACGGTACGTGCGGTAGTAGTCAGTGACAGGAGTAGGGAGCGACACAGTGAGGGCCGACTCAGGAGGAGACGGAAGCACAGACTGAGACGGACGAGGTGGACTAGAAAGAAGGAAGGCAGTACGAAGGTCAGTGAAGGGAACAGGAGACGAGGGACGAGCACGAGGGGAGCGACGAGTAGTCCAAGAACGAGACGGAGGAGGAGAGGACAAAGGCGGAGAACTGGGGAAAACAGCGGGGGAGGAGTCAGGAGGAGGAAACGTGGGACCGTAGACAGGAGGAGAGGCGGAGGAGGGAGGAGAAGGGGAGGGGAGACCAAGGATCCGAAGACCCGAGACAGGAGGAGGAAGTGGCTGCTGCTGCTGCGGCTGCGACTGCTGCTGCTGCGGACGCGGCTGCTGCTGGGACTGCTGCTCCTGCGGGTCCAGCTGCTGCTGCTGCTCCTGCGGCTCCAGCTGCTGCTGCTGCTCCTCCAGCCGCTGTAACTCCCTCTCCTCTCTCTCCAACGCCAGCTGCTCGTCACGGGCACGGCGAACACGAGCCTGGTGCCTAGTCGGGTAGGGGTGGGGGGGTGGAGTAGTGTCCGAAGCAGCGGCAGCTCCAGAGTCCACCTCAGGAGAACTAGGCGCACCACCCCCAGAGGCAGCACTAACACCAACTCCAGAACCAGGCTCACCTCAACCCGAAGGAGGCGCACCCTCACCCCCAGACGCAGCACCCCCAGTGTCCGCGCGGCCAGCACCAGCTCCCGGACGACAAGAGTCCTCAGCACCCACCGGGTCAGCTCCAACTCCAGAACCAGAAACTCCAGCTCCAACCCCAGCTCCAACTCCAGCACCCCCAGAACCAGAAACTCCAGTGCCAACTCCAGCTCCAACTCCAGCTCCAACTCCAGCACCCCCAGAACCAGAAACCGGTACAGGAACAGGCGCCGCACCAACCTCTCGAGAGCTAGCACCAGCGGCACGCTGCGAGGAGGACTGTGGGGAGGGAGGCTGTACCGGAGGGGCTACCGAAGGAGGAGGGGTAGCCTGGGACACACCTGACGGGGCTGGACCAGGGGGGGGAGGCTGTACCGGGGGAGCAGGAGGGGGAACGGCAGTCAGGAAGAGGGGGGGAGGAGGAACCGGGAGACCTCGACTGGGGTACCTGACGTAGTACGGAGTGGACTCCTCGAAACGGACGTCACGGGAGTCAAAGAACCGGTGAGAGGGAGGGTGGTAAAAGGTGAAGTCAGAGGAGTCCTCAGGGAAACCAAGGAAGACACAGGGGACGGCACGAGGCGAGAGCTTGTCCGCGGAGGTGTCGCGGACAAGAGCCAAGCACCCCCAGACACGAAACCGCGACGCAACACCACGGGACTCTGTCCAAAGACTGGTCGGTGAAACCTCTGGTCGAGAGACACGTGGCCAGAGGTTCAGCTGGTGCGCGGCGTACCTGACCGCGTAGGGCCACAGAAAATGGGGGGCACAGGCGTGAGTCAGGGAGGTGCGGGCGATCTCCATGACCAGGCCTATGCGGCGCTCAGCAACCCCATTCTGCTGTGGGGACTCTGGAAGCGTCCAGGACTAACGAATGCCCTGCTCGCGACAGAATCCAGCGAGAATGCCGGAGCGAAACTCACCCCCACGGTCGGAGTGGAGACAGCTGACACGACGACCACGAGTGTCCTCAGTGGTGAGCAACCACCTGATCAGCGTAGAAGGCACCTCAGACTTCTTCGCCAGAGGGAACACTGTGGTGTAGCGGGAGAAGTCGTCAACGACCACCAGAAAGTAACGCTCACGCTCAGGGCCTAGACGAGGGGCGGGGCCCCAGACGTCCAAGTGAAGCGTCTCAAAAGGCTCGGTGGCCGGACGAAGGGAGGAGGAGTGAGGGGTGGCGCGCAGCCTACCCTCGACGCAGGGACAACACGGCGGCGCAGGCGAAGGCGGCAGCGACGGCAAGACACGTGGGAGGCCTAGGACAAGACGCTGACTAGACATAGCGCGCAGACGTGGAAGGGACGGGTGCCCCATCCGGTGGTGCCACAGAACGGTGGGGTGGGCAAGCGACCGGCAGGAGCACGACGCAGCGACTGGAACAGACGTAGGAACCTGACACGACACAGACACCTGAGGGGACGTAGCAACCTGGTGAGACGCGGGGACCCGAACGGGGGGGGGAACCGGGGGCAGTGGCAGTAGGGGGGGCTGGTGGTGCGGCCGCTGGTGCTGCTGCTGCTGCTGCTGCTGCTGCGGCTGCGGCTGCTGCTGCTGCTGCGGCTGCTGCTGCGGCGCACGCGGGCCAGTGTGAAGAGTGTAGAGACCCGAGCCCGGCTCAGCAGTAAAGGTAGCAAGAGGCTGGTAAGAGTCTCCGTCAAGACACACCGCAGTCTCTCCAGAAGGCTCAAACCACACACCCACGTGCTGAGTCACGAGGGGTCGCACACCCACCAAGTTCCGGGAGAACGAGGGGACGTGAAACCCAGTGAGAGACCCGGAGGGAGCAGCAGGACACGGTAAAGTGGTAGTGTGACGTGCAGTGACTGATCCCGTAGTGGGATCAGCCAACGCTACAGAAACAGGCGCAGGAAGTGGTGTAAGTGTCGTGCTGTCCCGAAAGAAGCAGTGGGAGGCTCCAGAGTCCAGTGTGAACGACAGCGAAGTGTCCTCTGAGGTAGTCGCTGGTCTAGAGTCTACACAAGTACCTACACTAGCAACAGGCAACTGAGCAAGACTAGCACCTAAGCTAACAACACCAGAGTAAACAGAGTCAGAAACACTAGAGTCAACAACAGCATACATAGCATGAGGAGCACTAATCAGATCAACTAACTGCTCAGCAGACATGCCCCACAGAGCGGAGCCGTAGCGCTGAACCAGAGGAAGCCAGTCAGGAGCAGGACCGCCAACCCCGTAGGTCAACCGGACCGTGTCAGTGAGCTGAGCAAAGCACTGACCAGGGGGGTGAAAGCGGCCACAAGGGTGGCCCCGACGAGGACCTGTCTGAACCTGGTAGGGGCAGGGAGGGTAAGCAGCACCGCGCTGGGGCTGACGCAGCCCCGACCCCGGAGCCAGCTGCTGACGCTGCTGCTGCTGAGGCTGCTGGGAGGAAAGGGGCTGCTGCTGCTGCTGAAGGTGCTGCTGACGCTGAGCCTGGTACCACGCCGCTGCTCCACCTAGCGGGGCCGGCAGTACAGGAGGCGACTGACGAGCTCGAGGGTCGCCGCCACCAGCAGGTGCAGTGGAGTCACCAGCCGCTGCACGAGGGGTCTCTCCAGACGCTGCACTCCCACCACTGCCAGTCGCAACAGCACCCCCACTACCTCCGCTACCTCCGCCTCCACCTCCACCGGAACAACCTTTCTTGCCCCCCCTGCCGCGGGACCGCGACGCAGTCGTAACAGCAGCCGCAGTCGCGTCAGTAGCGGTAGTGGCAAGAGAGGCAGTGAAGGTGGGTAACTGCGGGACTGTGCACCCGTGGAAGAGTGGGGGGGACACAGTACCAGAGGCGGCAGCTACCGAACGAAGGTTGCTCTCGACGTCCTTGAGTGCAGACTCAAGGACCTCGATAGTCAGCTCACTAGGGTGCTTCAGCAGAAGCGCGTCACGAACGGAGGCAAGGCGGTCAGGGAGGCTAGTGGCGATGAAATAGACAGTAATCGCCATGGGGGGAGGAAGCAGTGCAAGCTGTGCCTCAGTGCAAGCAGCGCGGTAACTAGCGTCGAGCGAGCGGAGGTGAGCGATCAAGTCAGCAGAGCGCTCAAACGAGGCAAGATCAGGAAACAGGAACGGGAGGAAAAGACGGCCGAGAGAGACAGTAGCGGGAGTAGAGTAGCGGGCCTTAATCGCAGTGAGGTACGCAGCAGCGGTGCGAACCTGAGTAAAGTGGACCTCCTCGGACTCAGGGAGGAGGCTGCTGAGTGCGATGCAGGCCGCAGCGTCACGCGACGTCCAAGCCGTCCGGTCAGCGCGCTGACGGGCAAAGCGAGCCGTAGCAGCGTCGTCAGGAGCAGGGCCTAAAGCTGTAGGCTCGGGGGGCTCGGGGAGGTCACCAGTAGCGTGTGACCAGAGGGTCTCGCCCCCCTGGACCTGACTCTCTAACAGACGACGAGCGCGAAGAAGCCAGATGGAAAAGTCAAGGGGTCTACCGTCGGCGTCGAAACGAAGAACTCGCGGAGTCGCCATAGTGAGAACCAACGCGAAAGAACAGGCGAGTAACAACCGGGGGGGAAGAGGACTCAGTCGCAGCGGAAGAGCGGGCTAGGGCGACGGGCCAAGACGTAGGGTAGGGCAACGGGCCAGGGCCTAGGGTAGGGCAACGGGCCAGGGCCTAGGGAGGGCGACGGGCCAGGGCCTAGGGAGGGCGACGGGCCAGGGCCTAGGGAGGGCGACGGGCCAGGGCCTAGGGAGGGCGACGGGCCAGGGCCTAGGGAGGGCGACGCGACGGGTGACGTACATGCACCAGTGCTTGCCCAACGCCCAGCCAGCCTGTACGAGCAACAGTTGGAACCCAAGTGCAAGTAAAGAAGCAGGCTGCTTTGGTGGCATGCACAGCAGTAATCAGTAGTATGATACCGTGCCAGGAGAGGCCAGGATGACTTCAAGTATCATACCGTATCTTGGATGTTTTGTGACAGGGCAGCACAAAATTTTGATGGATAGTATTCGTGCATCACAAACTTTGCATAAGCACAAAATGTGTGGCCACATCGCCCAATGTGGCCACACATCCTGGTATTATACTCTGCACACAGCTTTTACTGCAACAAACCACGATATAGTGTACAGGCCCCCTATTGACCTGTCGGCCATGAGCTCAAAATGGATGACGGGTCAAATTATCAGTTCAGAAGCACTCTGTGTTAGTTACCAAAATATTTTTATTATATCCATGCATTTTGTGCACAAAATTTCGTATCACAGGTGATAGTGCAAACAGTGAGAATCAAATGTAGGGATGGATAATTGAACCAAATTATATTAAGCAAAAAATTGAACAGAGGCCCTCAGCTTCCAAAGTCAGCTGAAGGTGAATCAACTAGTAGCCCAGGAAGGGATGACTGGTTTCTACAGCTTCTCATCCCTCTCATAGAACACTATGTTACCCTCACTTGGTACATAGTGATCCTCACTGAAGGACTTATAGAGGGGCCTGTATAGGTGGGTGGGAATCGGACCAGGGCTAGGTTCGGGTTCACGGTAGTACTCTCCCATAACTGGCTTCACCGCAGCCGTCTGCATCAACGAGAAACGAGGCCTCGTGAGTAGGGTACAGTGACCTAAGTTCGTGCATTGGATCAGCAAACTCGCCGAACTACCATCTAAGACTCAAATTAGGAACGAAATGATCAGTATACGTGTGAACTCACCGCTTCTGTAAGGTTGTAGTGGGGAATTTGAGGAAACAGATGATGAACCACGTGTGTTCCAATATCGTGATGAATCTTATTGAAGATACCATAGTCCCTGTCAATGGTCGACAGACCACCCCTCATGTAGTTCCACTCCTGCAGGGATATGGAGCAAATGATTGTGTTAGAAGTGAAGACAGATATTTCATGTAGTTTCAATCATGCAGAGGTGAAGTTCAAAACTAAAGCTAGGTGCGTTTCTTACCTCGCCTCTGTACCACGGAACCTTCTTGTCATAACCGTGGTGATGCAGATAGGTAACAACATCGAGCCATACAACATTGATCTGCTCGACGAGGTACATAAAAAAAAAGGATATAATGAGGCCACTTATGCGAGATAATTGAGACAAGCTGTCAGCATCGACCCAGCGCGTGTCTTACCCAGTACGGAACGACGTAAAGCTTGAAGATCGAAACAGGTCCCATGAAGACCGTGAGCGCGGCCAGAATTCCCATCATGGCCCACCAGCAAGTCGCAGATGTAAGTACGTCGCCCTTCTCATTAGGAGTGAAAAGGTCGCAGTTGGGGTCGAAATGCGAACCGTCCTTGCCAGGGCTCCGCTTCCACTGGAAACACAAGGGACAACTCAGTCAATGCTTGGCGACGCAAAAGTAACAAGAGCAGCGTTCATTTCTTGTTTTATCGGTACGTACCAAGTAGAATGGGTAGGCGAAGAGAGGCCACGGGAACTTGAGTCGGCCAACCTTGGTCCAAAACTCCATCTGGTCATACTTGTCCTTGGTAACCTGCGCATCGACAATGTAATTGGCAGGTTACTCCTGCACGCTGCAATGGAAACAAAAGAATTCCCTAAAATGGGCCTATACGTACTGGATGCCAAGACTCGTCATTCTCAACGTGGCCGTGGTTGGCGTGATGTGTACGGTGGCTAATTCTCCTGTAAACACAAAGGCAGTGGTGAGTGACATACACGCGAGGGTTTAACAGAACCGACAACATAGCCACTAGTTCACCAGTAACTTTGATCCCTTACTGACCATCCGTGGTACGGCACGAGAATTGAGGAATGAGTCAGATGGCCAACGACGTCGTTCAGAGCCTTGTTGTTGGAGAAACTTCCATGCCCACTGTGGAAATGCAGCACGCAGTGAAGATGCAAAGGCTGTAATTATTGAACACTTTGAACATTTACATTTCCTGACATGAATCATAATGTGGCGTTCAGAATGTTTCCAAATGTGAAAGTGCCACTCTCGTCCCAGTACGTACCAGTCGTGACCAATGACGAAAAGCGCCCAGAACATGGTACCCTGAGCAAGCCAGTAGATTGGCCAGATCCACCATTGGTCGACCGCTTGAGCGACGGCAGCCATGCCGAACACCACGGCGACGTCCCACACGAGGTACGCCATGGACTTCAGTGCGTCCTTCTCCCAGCAGTGCTTCGGGATCGCCGCGCGGATATCCGCCAGAGTGAATGGCGGAGGAGCAGAGGCATCGAAGTCTAGGTTGGATTGCGGCTCCCTGGGGTCGTCGCCGCGAGTCATAGGCGGCGGCGGAGCCAGCACCATGCTGATCTGAGGACGCGCATTCTTGACCAAAGTAGTGGTTTTAGGAGCGCGGAGCTTCAGGCCGCCGATCCGGCTGACGGACGCGATCTGGCGGGTCTTGCTGCCCGTGCTGAGGCCTGCAGCGTAGTTGAGGCCCGTTCTGCAGGCTGTAGAGGCAGCCATGGCGTGGTTCCCGCAACAGAAAGTCTTCACAAAGCCAGAGTCAGAAGTGGCTGTGTAGACGACTCTCTGTGATCGTTTTTCAGCAAGTTGGATCAGAGCTCAATTCAAACCAATCCGTGAACTTTCTAGGTGTGTTTCCCTGAACACTGAAATTTCCTAGTGTTTGAAACTGCTACGTTTATATCTCGCGACCGCGTGGCTCATCTCATATGCGATCATTCAGGCCGTCCGATTAGAGCCAGAAGGCAGGGAGCCCTGAGATGGAAAGGATGATGGATGGGTGGTTGCCTGCTCTCGGGCTGGTCTATTGGTCCCGCTCCCTCGGGAATTTCCGAGGGCAAACCACAAACTCGCAGCTACAATTGTGCATCCCCTAGCTTGCCCATCGGGAAATGATCGAGTCGCGATACCCCAACGAGTACAGCGCAGCAAGGCTTTGCACACGGCTAATAGTTTGACACGTCTGCACGAAGAGCACCGTGGTACGACGATTGATTGCCAGCTGTCCATAACCCGGAAATTCAGTCAAAAAGCTCGGGACGACCCTGGGCCAGGTTCTTTGCCTGAGGTCAGAATCATAGAGTGACGCGGAGAAACACACTCATTACCATTGGTCGGTGCGTTATGTGCTCCTGCACCACACATCAGAAGCCCGCCAAGTTGGAGCCAACCATGTACGCCCTTATCTATTATGTTCGAGTAGGGCGGTGCTTTTTCCAAGCAAAAATCTCAGCACTGGTCGAGATCGAAAGGCATGGATAGCTGAGACAATGTCGGCAGAACAGAATACAGCTGAAACTAGCCAGCAACGTAGGAACATCTTTCTCAACCAAGTTCATTCCGGCACAACCATTGAACCCATAATGTGCCTCTCGGCAAGATAGTGACGGAGGATGGCATCCCCAAATATGTGTCCACTCGTCAACATCGTATGCACAAAAGCGAGTTTCTTTCAAATAAAGGCTAGTGAGTTGCGGTCATTGGCTGGCTGTGGGCGGCCACGTGTAGGTGTCGGTGGTCGTTGAGAGTTGAGTTCCTGTGCATGGGAGATAGAGATATTGAGAGGACGAAGATCCAAAAAATCCACATCAGAGAGTACAAGAGGGGGAGGGGAGAAGCGGACAGCGAGTAAGGTGGGTGTTGACATGAGGGACACATGGTGTAAGGAAGAAGGGGAGGGAGGGAGCCTCACCTGCATCCATTCATCCTGGTAATCCGGCGACGAGTTGCCCGAGTTGCCGGTGGGCGGCAACGGGTGGATCATCTTGGGGAAGACTACAAGGTCCCTCCCCAGCACTAGAATAGCACCCGCATTGTTGGCCGTGCCTGCATAAGGTGCATAGGAGAAGCAAGTTGGAGGGAGGGGAAGTAGGACAACAAGGGATGGAAGCAGGGTTGTTTTGAGTGCGCTCGAAAGGAATGCAGCAAACGATGGAGGGATTGTGAAGAGATGTGGCTGATGGAGTAGTGCGAGCGTACAACGCGTCAATCACTCATATCAGACCTGTTATAACGACAATCCCTCACCGCAGCAGCATCTCCTCAGCAGCACTCACCGCAGTAGTTGGTGGTGGAGAAGACCGTGATGAGGTGGCCGGAAGCAAAGCGCACTTGCCATTTACAAAAGCACACCTGCTATTACGGTTCACAGCAGCAGCAAGCTAGTAGCACTCACCGCAGTAGTAGGAGGCGGAGATGAGCGTCACCAGGTGGCCGGCAGAAAAGCGCACTTACCATTCGCAACAGCAAACCCGCTATTGCGACTACGACAGCCACCGGCGCTCCCCCCATCACGCTCACCACCGCAGCACTCACCGCAGTAGTTAGTGGCAGAGAAGAGAGTGATGAGGTGGCCGGCGGCAAAGCGTTCAAAGCCGTCCATCACGCACTCGTGCGCTCGAATGATGAGCTGCAGGTCGTTGTTCTGACAGAACTCCATCACCCGATCAGGCTGAGCAGGAAGGGGAGGGGAATGGGAGTGGAAGCCAGGGCAAATCTCTGAGCTAAAACAAATTTCTTACACATTTGCAAAGCAAAATCAGTTGCCACAAACAAGTGAATTTGACAAAAACTTCTTACACATTTGCAACCCAACTGCAGTGCAACCTTACCCCAAATGTGACAAGGCCGGGTCCTCGTGCGTTCGGTCGGAGGCCCTCAATGCTGTCGTTCTCCGTGGGATCAGACCTGCATGCACACACGCAAGGGGCGGGAAAGGCATTCTCGTGCGCATGTTTTGAATTCTCTCCAAGGTCGCTTCACAAGGCCCGGCCTGGTCCTTGGGCGTTCGGTTGGAGCCCCTCGATGCTGTCATTCTCTGTGGGATCCGAGCTGCATGCACACAAGGGAGGGGCGGGAAAGGCTACCTTGTGAGCGCCTTTGAATTCTCTCAAAGGTCATTATACAGGGCCCGGCGCGGTCCTTGGCCGTTCGGAGAACCTTTTGCATTCTCTGTGGGATCTGACATGCACACACGTCAAGGGGGCAGGGCACCGACGGGAGGGGTGTGGGTTGAGCTTTCGAGTGAGCGAATTTAAAGATGAGTCAAAGAGACGAAACAGTGACTTAACAAAGGAGATCCATTGACCCAGCCTCCATGCTGATGGGTCGCTGCAGCTCCTCGATCTGCGACACTTGCTGAATGGACCCAAGGGAAGAGCTGAAATTGGAACTCACCAGAGCAGGTCCATGAGGACCATCGACCCAGCCTCCATGCTGATGGGCCTCTGAAGCTCCTCGATCTGCGACACGTGCTGGATGGACCGGCCGATGCCCCCGTGCATGCAAATGATCTTCTTCTCTATCAGCGCGGCCAGCGGCAGCCAGTTGAAGAGCTGGTTGATGCGCTGCCACGCCCAGATGCCCGCCTGCTCGCCCATGCGCTCGATGCACTCTATGCGGAACCCAAACAGCGCGTTGATGTCTGCGGCCTCATGGTTGCCGCGGATCAGATGCACGTTGCGCGGGTGCTCGATCTGCCGGGGTGGAAGGTGGAGAAAGTTGGAGCATGGGAGAGAGTTGCGCTGGAGTGGTGTTTGCCACAGATCGGCCCGCGTGAGTGAGTCGATTCAGTCCTGGGTGAGTTGTAATTTGGTTGACTCAAAACACGAGACGATTCAGTCCTGGGTGAGTTGTGCGAGTCACGAGTCAATCTAATTCAGGCCAAACAGAGATTCGGACCCACCTTGAGAGGAGTCGACTAACCTTCAGTATTGACCTGAGAGTATTCATCGCCCCACCACATGCATTGTTGACCTAGCAACGATTCTTGCCCACCTTGAGTGCGAGCAGCAGGATGATGGTCTCAAGGCTGTGCGCGCCTCTGTCCACATAATCGCCCAGGAACAGGTAGTCTATGTACCTGGTGGGGTTTAAAGGTGGGGAAGGGGGGGAGGAAGGCGGCATAGAATTTCGGCAAGCGGCGCAGTGAAATGTGAGAGAAGAGTCAAGGTGCTGTGCGCGCCTCTGTCCACATAATCAACCCAGGAAAAAATATTCTAGGTACCTGGTGGGGGTCCGGGTGCGGGAGGGAGAGGGGTGGAGTGGAGGGGGATTTTTAGGCACGCGAGGGAGTAAAGTGGGAGAGCAGCACAGTGCTATGCGCGCCTCTGTCCACGATTGCCCAAAAAGAGATAGTCTATGTACCTGGTGAGATGGGAGAGGGAAGAGGGAGGGGTGAACGGTGAGCTGGGTTGGGAGAAGCGAGAAGAGCAGTGAGGAAATGATGGGAGTTTCCACGTGAAGCGAGGTTGTTTTTGAGACGTCTCAAAAACAACTTCGCTTCAAGAAGCGAGAAGAACAGTGTGGAAATGATGGGAGTTTCTGACCGTCGCCCAGAGAAAGACAGCCTATGTGCGATGTAACCGAACAGGGAGAATGGTCGAGAGGGTCGACAGTGGTTGCAAGGGGTTGAAGGAGGTTGAACGCGGTTGAAAGCGGGTTGAAAGAGCAGAGGCGGAGAGGGGCACTCACGCGATGTCACCGGCAGTGGAGGGCGAGCCGTACTCGTCGAACAGACGCATGAGATCACCAAACTGGCCGTGCAGGTCACCAAAGATCTTCACTGGCGCCCGCACCTGGCGGATAGAGAGGAGACGGACCAATTGGGAGGGATTGATGGAGGGAGGCAACAGGTCATGTCACAGGATGCATTTCCAACCCCACCTTTACCCTATCAGACCTACCCTCCCCCACATTACTAGCAGCACACACACGCCTGGTCCTCCCCCTGTCAGTAGTACCTGGGCCGCCTACACCAGTCTGCACCTAGCCCCATCCCCCCACTCTGTAGCAAGGAGGGCTTGTTCTTGAAGATGTTCTCCGCCAGGGCACAGAGCTCCACCACGCCATGCACGTCCAGAACCCAACTGCAAACCTCTAACCTGCACACTGACTGAGCTACAGTGCTCGTGGGAATCTCACCTGCAGCACAGACGGCTCATTCTTGAAGATGTTCTCCGCCAGGGCACAGAGCTCCACCACGCCATGCACGTACAGAGCCCACCTTGAACCTACCAGACCAACCGGCCCCAACATGCACCAGTCAACCCCTGCATCCTGTCCTACTCTGTAGCACGAAGGGCTTGTTCTTCAAGATGTTCTCCGCCAGGGCACAGAGCTCCACCACGCCATGCACGTCCAGGGCCCACCTTGAAGCTAACCCCCCCTCTCACGTTATCACATGAACCGCCCCCAGTCATACCTGCAGCACGGAGGGCTCATTCTTGAAGATGTCCTCTGCCAGAGCACAGAGCTCCACCACGCCATGGACGTCCAGGACACATTGCTACCTTCTTACCTCGCCTGCTACAGGGATACAATGCTCCTTCAGTCAACACCACACCCGCAGCACGGAGGGCTCATTTTTGAAGATGTTCTCCGCCAGGTCGCAGAGCTCCACCACCCCATGCACGTCCAGGAACAACTGCTGCTTCGTGGGGGGCTTCCAGCGGGCTTCATGCTGCACCTGCAGCACTGACTACTATGCTTGTGGGTATCTCACCTGCAGCACAGACTACTATGCTTGTGGGTATCTCACCTGCAGCACTGACTACTATGCTTGTGGGTATCTCACCTGCAGCACAGACTACTATGCTTGTGGGTATCTCACGTGCAGCACTGACTACTATGCTTGTGGGTATCTCACCTGCAGCACTGACTACTATGCTTGTGGGTATCTCACCTGCAGCACAGACTACTATGCTTGTGGGTATCTCACCTGCAGCACAGACTACTATGCTTGTGGGTATCTCACCTGCAGCACAGACTACTATGCTTGTGGGTATCTCACCTGCAGCACAGACTACTATGCTTGTGGGTATCTCACCTGCAGCACAGACTCCTATGCTTGTGGGTATCTCACCTGCAGCACAGACTACTATGCTTGTGGGTATCTCACCTGCAGCACAGACTCCTATGCTTGTGGGTATCTCACCTGCAGCACAGACTACTATGCTTGTGGGTATCTCACCTGCAGCACAGACTACTATGCTTGTGGGTATCTCACCTGCAGCACAGACTACTATGCTTGTGGGTATCTCACCTGCAGCACAGACTACTATGCTTGTGGGTATCTCACCTGCAGCACAGACTACTATGCTTGTGGGTATCTCACCTGCAGCACAGACTACTATGCTTGTGGGTATCTCACCTGCAGCACAGACTACTATGCTTGTGGGTATCTCACCTGCAGCACAGACTACTATGCTTGTGGGTATCTCACCTGCAGCACAGACTACTATGCTTGTGGGTATCTCACCTGCAGCACAGACTACTATGCTTGTGGGTATCTCACCTGCAGCACAGACTACTATGCTTGTGGGTATCTCACCTGCAGCACAGACTACTATGCTTGTGGGTATCTCACCTGCAGCACAGACTACTATGCTTGTGGGTATCTCACCTGCAGCACAGACTACTATGCTTGTGGGAATCTCACCTGCAGCACAGACTACTATGCTTGTGGGTATCTCACCTGCAGCACAGACTACTATGCTTGTGGGTATCTCACCTGCAGCACAGACTACTATGCTTGTGGGTATCTCACCTGCAGCACTGACTGCTATGCTTGTGGGTATCTCACCTGCAGCACAGACTACTATGCTTGTGGGTATCTCACCTGCAGCACAGACTACTATGCTTGTGGGTATCTCACCTGCAGCACAGACGGCTCGTTCTTAAAGATGTTCTCCGCCAGGTCACAGAGCTCCACCACCCCATGCACGTCCAGGAAGAACTGCCGCTTCGTGGGGGGCTTCCATGCACGCGGCTTCAGCAGCGTCTGCAGAACCTGTTGGGTGGAGAGCAGGGGGAGAGCAGGGAGCGAACAGACATTGGGGCCCACATGGGAGGGAAGAACTGCCTCTTCGTAGGTGGCTTGGCTTCCATGCACGCAGCTTCAGCAGCGTCTGCAGAATTTGAAAGGGGGGGAAATGCAGGCAATGGGAGAAAGTTGCGGTGAAGGAAAGGGGGATGGGTGGGGAGGCGGAGGGTGGAAGGCGTACGGCATTAATCCCAACATCATTGGCGTTGCTTTTCGGAATTCTCAAAAGCAACACCAACACAGGGTACAAGGCACGCAGCCTTGGTCCCATCCCAACTACAAACCCCTCCACCATAAGCCACTCCCATACAGGCCACCCCTTTCTTACCTTCTTATGCACGCCCTGCATGGACATCTGTCGGTTGAGCAGCTTGGCCGGCACAGCACAACCACATGCACCCATCTACTATCCAACCTCCATAGCAGCTCCCATATAAGCCAGAAACTCCCATACAAGCCGCCCCCTCTCTACCTTCTTATGCACGCCCTGCATGGACATCTGTCGGTTGAGCAGCTTGGGCGGCACAGCACAACCACGTGCACCCATCTACTATCCAACCTCCATAGCAGCTCCCATATAAGCCAGAAACTCCCATACAAGCCGCCCCCTCCGTACCTTCTTATGCACGCCCTGCATGGACATCTGTCGGTTGAGCAGCTTGGGCGGCCCGGCACCGCCCTCGGGCCCGAAGCTGATGCGCCGCCCCTCGTTCTCCAGGTGGTCGATGGAAAGCTGACGAACCAGGCCGCCCAGACTGCCGGCCGCAGCAGGGTCTGCTGCCACCACCACCTGCGGTATGCGGGAAAAGGAGGAGGGAAAAGCAGGAGGGAAAAGGAGGGAAAAGGAGGAGGGAAAAGCAGGAGGGAAAAGGAGGAGGGAAAAGGAGGAGGGAAAAGGAGGGAAAAGGAGGGAAAAGGAGGAGGGAAAAGGAGGAGGGAAAAGCAGGAGGGAAAAGGAGGAGGGAAAAGCAGGAGGGAAAAGGATGGGGGAAAAGCAGGAGGGAAAAGGAGGAGGGAAAAGCAGGAGGAAAAAGGTATTGGAACGAGAGTGACATTCTTGAAAGCAGGCGTCTCACTGTGCCCGTCGTCCGGAGCGCTGCGGTCCTGGCAAGCACCCTCTCCCCTCAACCGCCTTCCCCCTGTGCCCCTCCCCCCACCACCCCATTCCCCACCCAGTGTCTCTTGACCACAAACAACTCACAGCGCCGCGATACAGAGTGACGTTCTTGAAGGCGGGCGTCTCACTGCGCCCATCGTCCAGGGCGCTCCTGGCAAGCAGAACCTCCAACCTCACCTCTTGTCTCCCCTCCACCCAACACCGCATTCCCCCCAGTGTCTTGACCAAAACTCACGGCGCGGCGATGCAGAGTCACTTTCTTGAAGGCGGGCGTTTCACTGCGCCCATCGTCCAGAGCACTCCTGGCGAGACTCGCAGCGGTGGGGGGAGGCGGAGTGCCACCATAGCGCCGGTCGGCCATGTCGTCCCCCGTCAGGTCGCCACTGCCGCGCTTTGGCCTTGATCCCAAACCCCTTCCCCTCCCTTTCCCCTCCCTTTCCCCCCCTTCTACTCACCTCTCTTCTCCCCTCCAGCCTTGCTCATTCCTCCCCAGTGTCTTGACCACCACTCACAGCGCGGCGATACAGAGTGACGTTCTTGAAGGCGGGCGTCTCACTGCGCCCATCGTCCAGGGCGCTCCTGGCGAGACTCGCAGCAGTGGGGGGAGGCGGAGTGCCACCGTAGCGCCGGTCGTCCATGTCGTCCCCCGTCAGGTCGCCACTGCCGCCCCTCTCCATGGCTCGCCGTGCCACCTCCATCTCCTCCTTGTTGATCCGCACCAGCTGCTCTGATGCCTCCTCGTCCACCCTGCATTGAATTGCACGGGTACACGGAGTGTGGGAAGGAAAGAAGAGCGCTTGTGTGTATGTGCAAAGCAAGTCGCCCCTCTCCATGGCTCGCCGCGCCACCTCCATCTCCTCCTTGTTGATCCGCACCAGCTGCTCTGATGCCTCCTCGTCCACCCTGCATTGGCGGGCAGTATAGACCGGAGGGAAGAAGGGGGAAACATGTGCCTGCATGCAAGGGGATAACAGCCCGCCCCTCTCCCTGACCTTATCCCTCCTCCCCTCACTCACTCGTGCAGATGGTCATTCGCGTGTTCAGCACCGATATCCTCCTCTCTGTCATCCGGAGCAGCAACAGCCGAAGCCACCGCCACGCCCTGCCGCCCCTCTCCCGATCTGGGCGGCATGGGCGGCTTGCGTGCTGATCCAGACACAGCCTCCTTGGCAGGAGCCGCGGAGGGCGGCAGGGCGGGCTGCTCGGGTGGCGTGTCGTCAGCAATGAGCAGATCGTCCAAGAGAATGCCGCCCCGCAGCCCGCCGTACACGAAGATAATATCGCCGACCGAGGCGGCGGCGTGGCGGCAGCGGCGGGTGAGCTCGGTGGACGCGTCGCCGCCCGGAGCGTCGGCACTGTAGCGGCCGGTGCGGGCAACTGATACCATGGCCTTGCGGTCACACCACACGCCTGCTGCTGTGTCCAGGACTGTGTACAGCAGAAAAACGAGGGTGGTGGGGGGTGAGAAGGGCGTGGGAGGGGGAGAGGAGAGGATGGGGGGAAAGGAGGGGAGGAATGATGGCAATTACCATGGCTACGTGGTCACACCACACGCCTGCAGCTCTGCCCAGGACTGTACGTGGCAGAACGAACGGTTGGGGGAGGGGGAGGGGGAGGAAACGAGAGGGGGAAGATGTGGCCTTGGTTTGAGAGAGCAATGATCACATGGCCTCGCTATAGTCACATTGACTCACCGGCCACACTGGAGGCGTCTTCCACCATTCTGCCTCCACCCAGCGCCCCTCCAGACACGTGCAGGCGCAGACCCACAAACACCTGCGCGCAGATAAGGGTTTCGGGGCATGAACCAGCACAAGGTTCAGTGCAGGGTTCAGTGCAGGGTTGACTGCAAAGTTCAGGCCAGGCTTTACGGGAAGGTTCAGGCCCATATGTTCACAAAAAGGCAGACAGAACGCACACGCAGACAGCCACACAAGCCAACGCATAGCACGGTATGAAGAAACTCACAGCAGCGTGTTGGTAGCGCGCCGAGGGGGACACGCCAGGCGCCACAGCCCACTCCCACCGGCCGTCCCGATGCCGAGCCAAGCCAAACGCCCCGGGTAGAGGCTGATGTGGTATGGAACAACAAGTGGAAAGTGAGGGGAACGGGGGGGGGAGGGGGGGGGGAGGGGAAGTAGCAGGGTCAGTGCGTGGTCTACTTTTTAGGCGCCCTAAAAATGCTGAGCCAAGTCATGCGACCCGGGTTGGAATGGCACGGAACGACCAGTGCTAAGTGGGGGAGGGGAAGTGGCAGGGTAAGTGCGGGGAAGAGATGCATTGGTTGAGATGGGAGGGTAAAGAGCAAGGGTGTGGAGAAAGAAAGGAAAAATCGAAAATGGGCATGTCAGTCCCCACTCAAGAGCTCACCACCACCCTAAACCCACACGGTACACAACTTACCACGCTGCTGCCGTCTCTGCCGCCGCACAGCAGCAGCAACCCGTCGTGTCGGGCGCTGGCAGTGGCGTACATGCAGGGCGGCGGCCCCTCGCCCTCCGGGTCCAGCTTCTTCCACTCGTACGGCTTCGCTGCCGTGTCCAGCGACCACACGTCCGACAGCGGCCGCTTGCCTGCAGAAGGGGAGGGGTTGGGGGAGGAGGGGGGGGGGGGTGGGGGGTGTTTGTGGTGTTGGGTGGACAAAAAAGGTTGATGGATGCATTGCGCGGCCCCTCGCCCTCCGGATCCAGCTTCTTCCACCCGTACGGCTTCGCTGCCGTGTCCAGCGACCACACGTCTGACAGCGGCCGCTTGCCTGCAGGCGGAGAGAGGGGGGGAAAGGGTGTGTTGGGTTGACTCAAAAATACATGCAGCGCGACGGCCTTTCTCGCTCCCGGTCCAGCTTCTTCCACTCGTACAGCTTTGCTGCCATGTCCAGCGACCACACGTCCGACAGCGGCCGCTTGCCTGCGGGTAGGGGGGGAGGTGAAAGTGGGGAAAGTTGGGTGAGGTGATGCGCTAAAGAGGTCCATAATATCACATTCTTCGTTATCACTGACAAATGTATTGCACAGCACAAGCGTCAATCTGCACCTCGTCTCAAGCAAGTGAGCAAGAAAAGGCCTCGCACATCCCTCTCACCGTCATTTCCGCTGATGGAGAGCAGGAAGCGCTGCCCCACGAGCGCCATGACGTGACCATATCGAGGTCCAGGGCCCGCTCCTTGCACCACCACTCTGCTCGTTACAAGCACATGCCACACCGCCCACCACAACAGCATTAGAAAACCTCGTCTTAGGCATAAATCAATCACGAGCAACGGCATCAAAACATCCTCTTGACTGAAACGAGCCCAGGGTGTGACCGGAACTGCAATCAGCTCCTCTGAATTCTGCTCTTCCAATGCTGCTCTTTTGCTTGTGCGAGTACAATAGGCACAACAGGCACAGTCGAACAGCAGTACAACAGTGCACAGCACAACCCGCCCGTACCTGTGCCACTTGGGTCGAGCCTGGGTGAGGTCCAGCACGTGCAGATCGTCAGTGGCCAGCCCTGCCGGCCCAATGCCGCCCTGAATCACCACCATCGTCCCCACCGCCGTCGCCGCATGCGCCGCTCGCGGGGATGGAGGCTCGCCCACTGGAGAGAGCCTGGGAGGGAAAGGGAGATATCTTTGAGGCGCTTCAGAAGTGCTTGCGCTGCTTGCGGGGAGGACGCTCGCCTACAGGAGAGAGCCTGCGAGGAGAAGAAAACTTCTTCCCAGGCGCCTAGAAAATGCATGTGCTTCTCGCGGCGAAGGAGGCTCGCCTACTAAAGTCAGCCTGGGAGGGAAAGGGAAACGCGGAAGCATGATGCTAGGTCGGTAAGTAGGTGAAAAATTACGGCGAGATGCGGTTGGAAACCCTAGCATTCCGATAACGTGAGAGAAATGTGCGGATGTGAAACACGGGTGGACAGACGAACTGCGTGGATGGGGTTCATTTGCACCATCTAGTGTCCTAAAATGAAACCATCCTGTTCTTTGCTCCTATTTTCTCCAATACTGTCGAAGCGCAATCAATAATCAGTAACTTTCAAACAAACCGCGCCAAACCGAGCGGAAGCGCTCACTCACTTGTTCCATGTCCGCGAGTTGACGTCGAAACAATGCACATCCGCCGTGGCTCCGGCCAGACCTGAAAGATCGACGAAAGAAAAGGAAGCAGCAAGAGAGTGCGGAAACTCGAAGGGCGAATCGTTCTTGACAATGAGCGCTCTTGAGTAAAGTTAAGCTGCTTCTCAAGCGCAGCGGTGACGCCTAAATAGCCCACTCAGCAGAAGCTCTTGAAGATAACTACGGGAGAGAAATAAAAAAAAACGGAAGAATTTGAGAAACTAGGACTCAGCGGGAAGAAAGAAGAGAGCTTGGCCGGCAGAGGCCGGCAGTTGGTGTGTGTGAGAGTTGGTGACTAAGGAGGATGAAAAAAGAGAGAGACGGGCTGGTCGTAAGCGAGCGTACGCACATTTCAGAGCACGATCGGAACCAGCATTTCTATGCTAATAAGTGTTAACCTTAATAAAGGGGACACCGTCGCGAAATCGGCTAACACTATATTGGTCCTTGACGAAGTGTCAGCATAAAATCGACCCAGCAGCCGCTTAGCGACGGATCCCGCCACGCGTCCTGACTTACGTATTCCGGCTGCTGCTCCTGCCGCGGGACCTGCGCCTCCTTCCAGAGCCGTGGCTCCGCCGAAGAGAATCAGCCGCGGGCCGATGTAGTTCGCGCTGCCAGGCTCTCCGACAGGCGCGACGGCGGTAAGCGTGTGACCGCACCGGGGCCCGGGCGACTCCCCTTCGAAAGCGCATGGCGTGTAAGCAGGTGCGATACGCGGCGGTTCCCCGTCCTCCATTTCCATCTTAGCTCTTAAAACTAAACCCTAAGCTCTTGACGAAAAGGTTAATTTTAGAGCCAGAAGTGAACTGTGGAAACAGTTTTTGTCTGTTTATCAGATTAAGTGCATGAGGACGAAAACTTTTAAATGCCTCGAATGCAACGAGGCTCGCTCTTTCTGGAAAAGCATCCGTATCGCGTCTACGGCCTAGCTGAACATGCGTTTTCTACGCAGCTATGTAGTCGTTCCGTACAGCCAAACACCCTTGAGCCACGACAAGACCTAAACAGCAAGAGGACTGAACAAAGGACCTAAACAGCTTGTGGCCTTACAAAGGACAAAGGTGTTGAAGGCAGCAAGACTGACTGATTGAAATAAGGCTTTGGGATTGTGTTCCAGTTCCCTACCTCCAGTTGTATCATGTGATGGTTAGTTTAGCTAAAAATGAGCTAATTCAACGGTCTGGATGCGCTTCTCGAACCGATTACATCACGGTTACCAGTTATTTTCCAGCCTATCGTAGGTTTTCACTTCGTTCAGGCACGCCTCAAGTCTGCTGCCCTCGAGCTTCCCCTGATGTGTGCTGCTGAGCACTTGGGGTTTCCGCCCCGTAGCCCTTGAGCTTCCGCTGCCTGTATTAGGGGCTTCCGTGCGCGAGTTTTTCCGCACCTATTCAGAACATACAGGCGTCGATGTATCGAACAGCTCCCTGCGTTGAGGCAAAGGGGACAGAAAGGTGCTACACCATGCATGCATGGCAGTAAATGGTATGTACGGTATGCACTGAAAGGTTCACATGGATACCAGCGTAGTCCCCATTTCCCGCCCTGGTGTTTCCGCGCACTTCGGTTCATAGGCTCGGCGCTTGTTCTTGGCTGCGCAAGCCGCAGACCTGCCAGGGTGGCCTGTTTGGTCTGACGAACTCAGCGAACTGGTAACTGAAGGGAATATGCTGCACTTAGCTTCGCACAAAGAAAACTATTGACCAACTCGATTTGTTCAAGGGCGGGATGTCATTCTTGTCAGAGGAGCTCGGGCTTCGCCCCCGCAAGCGCGCCAGAATCTCCGCATCGCCTGATGGCAGAGTTGACGGAACGGAACCTGATGTGTGGCTCCCCACAACTCAAGCAGTGTTGCGACAACAATCTGACGGACGATGTGACTGTCTCCGTCAGGGATGGTCTGCACGGCAATCCCTACAAACGTGTTACATTTTTCGAAGTGGCTGAAAGTCTGGACGGCTGTCAAGACGCGTGCGAAGATTGCGACGTCGTACGGTCGTGTTGCGACCAATGGGATGTCGTAAGGATGCAATACGAAGAAAACGACGTCGTTTAGACCCTGACGAACTCATTGCCGAGATCTAACGAGCTTCGTAACCATACAATCGTCCGGACGGCTGGCCGTCTGGACGAAAACAAATGAAAAATGTTACACGCCCTAAAACATTCTGCACGGCAATCCCTACAAACAACAGCACAGATACACATCCACCCACCCCAACTCAACCCCGGGCAGTCGTAGTTTTTGCTCTGCCATTCCGAATTGCGTAACGTAAGGGAGGAGCCTGTGCGTGAGCAAGCAGGTATTTTACGGACTGCTCATGTCGTTTCTGCTTGTCATTGTCGAATCCTAAACCACGTGCATGGCAGTCTCTGAAGCATTTCTAGCTGCTGGTTGTGTAGGTGCTTTGACTGGTAGCTTTTTCTCATTCCACCACCGATGTGCAGGTATAGTGAGGTGGCTCCGATGTGTCTAGACTAGAGCAAAAAGTGAAGCATTTCCAGCAGCAGGTGGTACAGTCTCTGGCTGGTAGCGTTATTCTCGTTCCATCCTTCTTTTCTGGAAACGATGAGGTGGCTCCCTGCCTATCAAGACTACGCCTTTCTTCGAAATTGCTCTTCATTGCTGTAGCGGTTGATTTTCGTCCTCGAATTCGCTATGGGTCAGGCGAATTCGACAGCGGGAGAATGGCCCTACCCTGACTTCGCAATTCCAGCGAATCTCAGTGCACCCTCGCTTTCAACCCTCAACCAACCTTCCACGCCTCATCTTAACGAATCGGAATCATCCCGAGCCTCGCTTGCAAGCTTGGAAAAACTCCTAACCGAGGAGGACTGGGTCCACGACGCGGTCTCTAATCTCCTCACGCAATACGTCGAGAAGATCTCCAGCGCCGCGGTCGTTGCCACGTCAGATCTCACGGCTGCTGATGAGCAAGACCACGAAGAGGATGGGGACGCAGATAGCGATAACAAAGAAGGGGACGAATTTTCTTCAGATCTCCAGCAGAACTCCCCGCTGCCCTCCTCGTATAACGCCACGCCCTCCCCTTTCGCGGATTACCCCACCTCCCCTTCCGCCGCCTCCGCTTCCCCTTCCCCCTTCCGCCTTCATGACTCTCACTCTCCCGCACCTGTCCTCGCCACCACCGGAAGCAGCTACCTCAGCGGCGGAGCGGGACTCCCGCCGCGACCCCCGGCGCCGTCGGCGTCCGCGGCGCTCCAGCCGGAACAGACGGTGCCGCAAGGGCCGCTGAAGCGACTGTCCACGCGGCGGCTGGTCGCGCTGGCGGTGGAGCGGGCGGGGGAGGTGACGTCGCGGGAAGCGCAGGAGGTTCTAGAAGCGGCGCTTTTGCGCCTAGCTCGCGCGGAATACGATTGGCTCGTGGCAACTATTCAGACGGTCTCCGCATCTGTAGCCGCAACAGCCGCCGCCGCAGCTGTAGCAGCCGCGGAGGCGCGACGGCGCGCGCGGAGGAAGGCGCGGGGGGAAGGGGAGGTGGAGAGCGCACTCGGGGGGTTTGATTTCGCGGGGTTGAGTGCGCTGGCTTTCGGGGTAACAGGCGCGGCAGAGCAAACCCTAGCACACGTGGGTCCGTTGCCTCCGGTAGGATTGGATCCGTTACAAGTGGAAGAAGTGTTTGTTTTGGGGCTGGCTATGTGGGTAGAGTTCTGGAAGGAGTGGGGGAAGCCTCCTGTGCAGCACGGGGCAGGCGGAGCTGTAATGGGTGTCACTGGCGGGGGAGTGGGCGCAGGCGGAAGGGGCAGCGGCGGCGGAAGCGGACTCGAGGGCCATGGCGGGCTGGGGCTGGAGTCCCCCGTCGGGGGAAGGGGGGCAGGCGGGGGGAATGGGTCAATCTGGAGTCAGGTCAGGGAAGAAAGCTCTGTTTCGGGATACGTTAATCATGATGCGGGGGGAGAGATCAGCGGAGGGGGCTTTGGGGGCTTTCGTAGCGCAACTATTGGTGGGGGTGACAGTGGGATAGGCGGCGGAAGAGGTGGGGACGGGGGCTTTAGGAGCACAAGTCACGCGGAGAACACGGGAAGCTTCGCGGAAAGAAGAGGGTTGAGTCGCTCGGGAAGCAGGGCGATGAGCAAGAGTCGGTCTTTAAGGGAGGCTCGGTCGCTGAAGGAACGCGGGCGCTCGTTTAGAGAACGCTCGTTAAAGGAAGGGTCGTTGAAAGACGGAGGGAGGTCGTTTAGGGAAGGAGGCGGTGGGGGAGGGGTGATAGGGGATGGGGGGGCTGGGCGGGGAGGGAAGCACCTATTGTCATCGCTCGATTCCATAGGGCAAAGCGATACTGTAGATGTGGGGAACTTTTTCTCGGTTGACTTAAGCGATGGTGATAGTAACGGGGGAGGAGCGGACGGGGGAGGTGGGACGGATGGGGGAAGTGATTGGAGTGGGGAAGGGGAGAGGGGGAGAGGGAGGGGGCTGTGGGGTGGGGTGGAGGCGATACAAGAGGAGGAGGAATTTGGGGACCTTGATCTAGGGGAGGAGGAGAAAGTATTAGGATTTTCTTCAGATGTAAACGACAGCAGTGTGAACAGTGACCTTGTTGAGACTGAAACGGACGAAGGAAGCCGGCCGAAGCGAGAGCGTATGGTGACGATTGTTGAGCCTTTAGAGATTGAAGACCCTGCAGGTGCAGAAGACAAGGATGTGAATATTATGAACGGGTATCACTATAACGAGGATTACCATACCGAGGGCTCAGGTTTGGGTGGTGCTTCGGTGGTAGGCTCTGCGTTTGAAGCTGCGCTTCGGGCTGAGGCGGGGCGGCAGCTACAAGACAAACTGCTGGAAGAGATTCTAGAAGCTTCCAGTGGGCGGCAGCTTACTGTAGCAACTCCTGGGCCTATGACTGCAGCAGCAGGAGCAAGGGGCGTTGGGGGGGGAGACAGAGGAGGAGAAGCAGGGGGAGGGGTGATAGGAAGTGCGGAGGCATCTCAAGGGGTGGGGTCTGGTGGGATTGGCCAGGAGGAAAATAAGCTGGGAGGTTTGGGAAAAGATGGGCGGGAGTATCGGAAGAGCCGAAGCAACGTCGGGAGGCTTGGAAGCAGTAGGTTCTGTGCCGAAGCTGCTGTGCTGAGCAGCAGCAGTGGTGGGTATGGGATCCGCGCAGGGGGTGGCAGCGGTTACACCGTTGCTGCTGCAGCAGGAGTGGATGGGGCGAGCAGCAGCAGCAGCAGCTGTGGCAGCAGTAGTAGCGGTAGCAGCAGCAGTAGTGACGCTAGTGGGTTATGGGGAGGGCCTGGGAGTAGTATCAGCACAGTCAGTACTATAAGTACTGTTAGCACTTTTAGTGTGGGGGTTGGGGTTAGAGAATCGGATATGATTACAAGTATGATGGGTAGAATGGGGATATCTTCTGAAACTAGTGCTGCCCCGGGGCTTGGCTTGGCCGGACCTGCCGGCTTGGCTCCTGGCTCGGTAGCGGGAATTATGGTAGCAGGGCCGGGAGGCTCGGTGATGGAAGAGGAGGCAGTTCCAAACCCGGCGCCGCTCCACGTGGACGTGGTTCGGTTGTTAGGCTTGGCAGCAGCTGCGGCGGGCCACCAGCCTGCCACCGCAGCTGTCTGCGTGCTCCGGCTGCTGGACAGGCTCGGGAAGCAGGACTGGGAGGCTCGGTACGGCAAGAAGCTGGAGGCGCGGCACGGCAGGCCCGGCGGCCGAGCCGAGCACGGAGGCTCGGATTCAGACGAGGAGGAGGAGGATTCGGAGGATGATGAGGAGGAGTCGCTTAGTCCTGGGAGTATGGCTAGTGGATGGACCAACGGAACAGGGCCCGGGAGCAGAACGGCAGGGGGGTTTGGTCCTGGGGGGAGCAGAACAGGGGGAAGCGGAGCAGGCGGGGGGAGCAGAGCCGGGGGGAGCAGGGCGGGGGGGAGGAGCGGGTGTGGGGACGGGGCGGGGTCGACGGCTACAGGAGGGGCTGTGGCGGAGTGGGAGAATGCGAGTGAGGCGCAGGAGTGCCGGGAGTTTGTGCTGCAGTGCCTGCTGGATATGGTCGATGCTGTTGCTCTCAAATGCCAGATCAGGAAGCGGCCTGGTGGGAGCTACGCTGCTGGGTATGGGGATGGGTATGGGGGAAATGTGGGGTATGCGGGGTATGGGGATGTTGTGGCTGCGCCTACCCCCACGGGGCAGGTGTCGTTTATCAAGTCGTTTGGGGGCGATGAGGAGTTTGCTGCTCTTCTTGCTGGCTCAGCTGGTGGGGGAGCTACGGGTTTCTCTGGTTCTGCTGGTGCTGGAATGATAGGTTATTCCCCTAGAGGAGCCATGGGTTATTCCCCTACCAGCAACAGGCAGTCGCAGTGGGGAATCGGGGGCGACGTGCAGGGGGGGATTGGAGAGGGCCGGACGGGGAGTGGGGTAAGTGGTGGTGGGGAGTGGTTGGGTGAGGTGGGAGGGGGACTGGAGGAAGCTGCTTGGCGGGTGGCCTTGCTTGGGGAGGATCCGAATCATCAGGGGAATACTCAGGGGCATAGCCATCATGGCATGGGGGGAGAGTCTATGGTTCCTAGCAGCCCGTCCGGGCAGAAAAAAAAGCATCGCAGGCAGAGAAGTTTCGTGAGCGCCTGCCCGATTCCCGTCGTGCCCCCACCATCCAAAGCCCGGTTCGACTCTGCTGCTGCTGCATCAGCTGCTGCTGCGGGGGGGGATGGGTTAGGCCCCGCTCCATTGGTTGAGCTTGCTGAGCTGGCAGTTCTCCGCTCCATCCTCCAATCATCGTCCAGCATTATGGGTGCATTTGGTGCACACATGCCTGCAGCTGCTGCTGCCACCACCAGCTCGAGCAGAACCCCCAGTATGGATTTCGACAGTGACCTTCAGTATAGTCACCCCCTCTTAGTGCCCCTTCCTCAATTCGCCAGCCCGCCTAAGCTTCGGCAATTAGATGGCGTTTTGGTGTCTTCCTCTGCTGGAGGTCCGGGGCTGTTGGTGCTGCTCATAGCTACCGAGGCGGCTCGGTTGCCGAACCTAGCCCCGGACGACCTCTGGCTGCTGGCAGACCGATCCGAGGAGCTCAGGCTCGGCGAGGCTTCGGTTCGGATCCGCATCCGAGCCTGTGCTTCGACGTATGATGATCCCGAGGGGGTCCGGGAGACGGTTCGGTTGGCTCTGGTTCCCAATGGTGCCGAACCTGTTCCAAAGCGGATTGCTAGGCTTTTAGCAGCTGCTAGGTTTGCGTTGCTGCGGGCGCGGACAGGCTCGGCAAGGAGGGAGTTTGCTTCGGTGTTTGGTTCGGCGCTGCTGGAGCCGATCCAGGGGAAGGAATGGGCGAGGGAAAGGGAGAGGCAGAGGGAGAGGGAGGGGGTGTGGGGGTTGAGTAGCGTTGGGGGTGCTGCAAGAAGAAAGGAGAGAGAGAGGGAGAGGAGGAGGAGGTGGAGGAAACTGGGGAAACGGATATTAGAATACCCATGGGCTTATGAGCTGGCTAATGGGTTTTTGGAGCTAAGTACGTTGTTTAAGTTGCCTGGGGACGAAGATGAGCAAGAGGAGGAGAGAGAGGAGGGAGAGGAGGAGGATGAGGAGGAGGAAGGAGGGAGGGAGGGTAGGTGGGGAGTTGGCGAGGAGCAGTTGCAAGAGACGAAGTTACTGTGTGCGAAGGTGATTATGCGAGTGTCTATAGAGCCACTGCTGATGCATGGGTTGGAGAGTGGGGAGAGCGAGGAGAGTGAGGAGAGTGGGGAGAGTGAGGAGGAGAGAGGGAGTGTGGGTGGTGGGAAGAGCATCGGCCGTGCGAGGGAGTGGGAGAGTGGGGTAGGAGAGAGGTGTGGGAGGATACAGGAAGAGGCAGAGGAGGAGGGGGAGAAGGAAGAGGGGAGGGCAAATGGGAGAGGAGAAGAAAGCAGAGGAGGGGAAGGAAGAGGGGGGGATGGCAGCAGGTCGGTAAGTGCCAAGGCACGGCACCAGCTGTCAGTGGTGGTCCCAGAAGGACCTGTGAAAGCCGGGGAAAGCGACGAAATCGTCAAGGTCGGCAGCGGGATGGGGGCTCGCAGCGGGGCGAGTGCAGCAGAACGGGCAGAGGAGGAGCGGAGGGAGAGGAGGGCGGAGAGGAGGAGGGAGAGGGCTGCGAGGAAAGAGGAGGCAGTGGCAAGGTGGGCGAGGGAGGTGGAGTATCCAGAGGTGGAGGTGGGTTGGGCGCAGTGGAAGGCGATTGGGAGCCTGCTGGAGGAGGAGAGGCGGGAGCACTGTGCACTGGTGCCCATGTGGGGCAAGGCCGTCCGAGGAAGCTTCAAGGTGCGTTCCGCCTTATCAAGACTTCTCCTTTCCTCAACTTGCCTTCTCTTCAGAAGTCCGTCTCCTCTTTCCCAGTTTCTCCCCTCTCCCTCAGTTTCTCCCCTCTCCCTCTGTTTCTCCCCTCTCCCTCTGTTTCTCCCCTCTCCCTCTGTTTCTCCCCTCTCCCTCTGTTTCCTCCCTCTCCCTTTGTTTCGTTTCCACTCCTTCAATTCCCCTCATCCCGACACGCCAACACCCGCTATCACAGGCCATTCTGCACGATTCCACTCCACGAGACTGCTTCCTGGTCCAGCTCTTCAACTGGGGCCTAGAGGGTCTGCTCATCTCCTTCGCCACTTCCCGTCCCTTCCCCCGCTCTCCTTCTTTCCCCCCTCTTCGCCTCCCTCACAACTGCAGGCTATTCTACATGAAACTGCTCCACCAGACCCCTTCCTGCTCGAGCTCTTCGACTGGGGTCTAGAGGGCGTACTCATCTCCTTCGTCTCCTTCGCCTCGGCCACTGACCCTCGTCAACACCTCCACCCTCTTATCTTCTCCCTCTTTCCCCTCCTCTCCCACCCATCGCAGGCCATTCTGCAGGACGCTGCTCCGCCAGACCCCTTCCTGCTCGAGCTCTTTGACTGGGGCCTAGAGGGCCTCCTCATCTCCTTTGCCTCGGCCGCTGACCCCCGCCAACACCTGCACCGCCACCGCCGCTCCTCCTCTTCCTCCTCCTCCACCTCCTCTTCCCCCTCTTCCGCCTTCAAATCCCAAGCCCAGTCCCAGTCCCGATCCCACTCCCGCTCCTCCTCCTCCGCCCTGTCCCCGTCGCAATCCCCCTCGCAATCCCATCCTGTCCCCACCTCTTCCACTGCCAAAAAGCCTCCGCTATCCTCCTCCCCTGCCTCCGCCTCCTCCCCATCCTCCTCCTCCTCCCCTCGCACTCCCTCTCACAAGCCTGCAATCCCCCCGCCCCGCCTCTTTCCCCAAGCCTCTGCCGCAGCCTCCCGCGCCCGCATGCTGATTGGCTGTAGCGCGTGGATTGACCAGGTTGTAGCAGTGGTCTGCCCGAAAGAAAAAGAAGTGGCAGAGCTGTTAATGGCTGTAGCGATGAGAATGGCCGCCCGGGTGTTTTATAAATGGCCAAGGCACACGGATAACGTGAGGTTTATTGCGAGGTTGCTGCTGTATGTGCATCGGCAGGGGATTGGGGGCATGGGGGAGGAGCTGAGGGAGAGGGCGGCGAAGATCAGCCGGCAGCTGTGGGGGTGGAGCTTGCCCAGCTTTGCTTCAATTCGCATGCAGTGTGAGGTGAGTCGGAATGGGGGGAAGAAGGATTGCAGGGTTGAGCTTGGGATTCAGAAAATAGGGGTGCGAGGGAGGTGTGGGGGAGAGAGTGGTGGGAGAGAGGGGAAGTGAAGAGAGGGAGGTGAGTAAATGGGACAGGGAGTCAGCTGAGGGAGAGGGCGGTGAAGATCAGCCGGCAGCTGTGGGGGTGGAGCTTGCCGAGCTTCGATTCGATTCGCATGCAGTGTGAGGTGAGTTCGGAAGGGGAAGGGATTCCATGTGTATGTGGGGAAGGCAAGGACAGGGAGGGAGGGTGATGAGGATTTCAAAAGCAGTGTGAGAGAAGGGGCTGAGGGAAAGGGCGGTGAGAATCAGCCGGCAGCTGTGGGGATGGAGTTTGCCCAGCTTTGCTTCGATCTGCATGCAGTGTGAGGTGAGTCTGGAAGGGGAAGGGATTGCATGTGTAAGTGGGGATGGCAAGGACAGGACGAGAGGGTGATGGTTTAAAAGGCAGTGTGAGAAAGAGAGAGCTGGAGAGTGCAGCTGGCAGCTGTGGGGGTGGAGTTTGCTCTGCTTCGCTTCGATTCGCATGCAGTGTGAGGTGGGTCTGGGGAGAAGAATGCATGGATCCACATCCGTAACATTCCTCTCCTGGCGTGTTCTCGCATTGCTCGTGCCCCTTCATGTTTCGTGTGCTTGTTCCTGTTGTATATTCATTCTTTCGAGACAAACGTATCATCCTTATTCATGCCTTGCCATGTCATGCCATCCATTCCATGCCGTATCATGCCATCCCATTCCATGCCATATCCCTATGACACAGACGGATGAGGAAGCACACGAGATCATGCTCAGTGCCATTGTTGCCACGTGGAAGGGTTTTGCCACATAGGACTAGCCGTCTGGAGCCGTGCGTGTGGCGTTGTAGCCATGTGGAGCAATCATCGACGCTTCAATGACAATAAAAACGATATACAGTGCGGAGTGAAATTGGGGGACTCTAGATTGATCTGGGTATACGCCATATTAGGCATTTCCAGGTTCTTGGAGGTGTATGGCTAGCTGATTGATTTGTATTGCTTGTCTACTAATGTATTGCTGCATACCCATTTGTAATGGTACAAGTATGAGTGTCTTTTTGTTCAATTGACCCACGTGGTGTAAAAGCAAGAAGGAACCTTCCGTTAGATGCTTACCGCGTACCACCTCATGCAGACGCCGAGTGTAAGGAATTTTTTCGATATTCCTCAGCGCACCCTGCAACACCGCGTACAGCAGCAGCCGTTGTTCGCCCGTTACTGCTAACGGGGCTTCGCCGACTTCGCGCGCACTGTTTCACCAAACCTCGCACTGCTGGCCCGGCCGTGTTGGCCTACGCTTCGGGACTAGCCCGAGCCTCGCTTCCAGCGTAGCACTAGCTAGCTCGCGCACACCGCGTTACCGTTCACATGTTTCGCGTATTGTAAGGAAAATTCCTTTTCCTTACTTCGCATCCCTGCTCAACGCGTACATCACTGTAGCACCACAGTCAGCACCGTTACCACTCGCAACCCTCGCATCGACAATCCGCCAGCCACCTTCGCACATCACACCCCGACCTCACGGCTCGGCGGGTAACCCGCGCTCCGGGCCTCCGCTTCGACACTTTTCCCAACCTCAGTCCCAGGCCCGTCGCGCGACAACCACAGTCCATTACCATTACCACTGTAGTTTCGCTATATATTCTTCGCTCATGCCTTCGCTCATTGCACTCTTGCTTCGATAGTGCAATTCTCGTTCGTTCACTCAATTGCACTCGTAATACTTGGTATTCAGAGCCTACGATCTCCTCTCGGACCGCACCCACACCTTCGCTTCCCCACTATCTCAATTTTTGGGGGGGGTAGACGTCTCTCAGCGACACAGCACCGCCGCTCGTAGTGCTCTCTCGTAAGCACGCACGGCCACGACCGAGGCTCTCGCTGAGCTCGCCCGACACCCCCGCCATGGCCGAATTCACGCTCGCCACATTGACGCAGGAGCAGCTCGACCGTCTGGTGCGCCAACTTGAAGATTCGGCGCTCGAAATTGCGACGCTCACGGCGAAACGTGACTCCGCGCGTCAGCAATCAACGATGAACACTCCAGCGCCACCACACGCACCGACAAATGCATCTGCACAATTAGACGAGCCGATCGTCATCTCGTCCGGCACACCGACACAAAACAACAGCGTGGGACAACGCTCAGGCGCAGCCAGCGATGGCGCCGCCTAGCCGATGCCTGGCATGGGAGGAAACAGGGTCGCACCAAGCCCGCGGGAGCCTCGCGAAGCCCGTCGGCACGTGGAGTTCGCAGCGACAAGTGGCGAACCGGCCATTATGGCACCAATGCCACTCAAGCCGCAACGCCCGCCCTGCTTCGACCCGAGCCAGCGTGGAGGTCCGACGGTTCAATCGTGGGTCTTCACGATGAACGTCTTCTTCGACGCGAATTACGTCGAGTCGGACGCAGCGAAGATTCGGTATGCCGTTTCGCTGCTAAGGGGCCCCGCCATGGACTGGTGGCGAGTCATCGTGACGTCGCCACGCGCCTACGAGCCACCGTCGCAAGAGGAAGGGCCCACGGGCCCAGCTGTCACCTGGAGTTCATTCTGCGAGACCGCCCAATACAGCACGTGGGATGCGTGGTGCGCAGTGCTTCGGGCGCGCTTCGTGTCAGAACATTATAGCTTATGCTTTTGTGTAGGCTGTAGTGGGTTATCCCATAGGGGGTACAACCCAATTAGGGTTAGTACTTGTACCCACTTCATTCATAGTCCATTGATCCTCGTTTCAGTTTTCTCATGGTATCGAGCAGGTTCCCTCGTGGGAACTGTTCCTAGGGCCCTACTACTGCTTCCGCTGCTACTCGATCTGTCGCACGCCCCGTGGCGTGCGACCTATGGCGCGCGGCGATTTTCTTTCTGGCGCGCGCCCCGAGGCGCCCGGCCCCACTACCCCGTCGCGCCGCCCTAGCGGCCGCGTCGCGCCGCCCTCGCGGCCCCGATCTGCCGCCCTAGTGGCCTCGTCACCTACCTCTGCGGCCTCAGCGCCGCCCTTCCCGGCCCCAGCTCCGCCCTTCCCGGCCCCGGCGCCACCTCGGCTGGCCCCGTCGCCTACCCCGGCGACCCCGACGCCGCCCTTACCGACCCAGCCCCGCCTCTCCTGGCCCCGTCGCCTGCCCCTGCGGCCCCGGCTCCGCCCTTCCAGGCCCCGGCGCCACCTCGGTTGGCCCCGTCGCCTACCCCGGCGACCCCAACGCCGCTCTTCCCGACCCGGCCCCGCCTCTACTGGCCCCGTCGCCTACCCCTGCGGCCCCGGCGCTGCCCTTCCCGGCCCCGGCGCCACCTCTGCTGGCCCCGGCGCCGCCTCTGCTGGCCCGGACGCCTACCCTGCGGCCCCGGCGCCACCTCTGCTGGCCTCGTCGCCGCTACACCCGGCCCCGCCGCCGTCCCCAAGCGGCCCCGCCGTCACCACCGAGCCGCCGGCGCCGCCGAGCTAGTGCCGAGCCACCCGAGCCACCCGAGCCGCCCGAGCCGCAGCGCCACGTCAGCCGCCCGAGCCGCCGAGTCGCCGAGCCGCCGCGTTGCAGTTGCTGCCGAGCCGCCGTACCGCTGAGTCGCGCGAGTCGCCCGAGCCGCCGAGCCGCAGTTGCTGCAGTGCCGCCGTGCCGCCGAGCCGCCCGAGCCGCCCGCACCGCCGAGTCGCCGAGTCGCCGAGTCGTCGAGCCTGCTCTTCCCACCACTGGTGAGCCCCTGCCTTACTAGCGCGCTGCCTGCCGCTTGCTTGGCTGCCTGCCTTACTGCTGCTACTCCTGCTCCTGCTTCTACTGGCGGAGCCAGATGCAGCCCCAGCGACGTCCGCGTGAGTCCCTCACGCCCCAGCAGCTGCGTGAGTGGTACGCTGGTTGGGGTTGTAGGGGTGGCGGCGCTACTACTGCTACTACTACTGGCGGCGGCCAGATGCAGCTCCAGCGACCCCCACGCGCGTCTCTCACGCCCCAGCAGCTTCGTGAGTGGTACGCTCAGAGTGGAGGGTCTCTCAGTTCTGTTCGCTGCTCTTACGTGATTCGCACTGGTGCTCGGACTGGTCAGCCTTGTGGGACGCCTAGTCACACACAGTCCCGCTGCTTCGCCCGTCTGAGCGACGCCTGGCGTACCGAGTTTGGCGACAAAGCTGAGCTCCCCGACTGGGTGGAGTTGCTTAGGCAGAGAGTAGATATTTTTGCTCTTGATTATGATGCTATTCTCACTGCCATGTATGCATTGCCTACTAGTGCTGACCGTGCCGGTCACCTGTGCGTACCGCCTGACCCGGGTATCGAGCCTGCTGCTCTAGCTGCTGGTGAGGCTGCTGCTCTGGGTGCTAGTGTGTCTCCTGCTCCAGGTACAGGTGCGGCTGCTGCTCTAGGTGCTAGTGAGTCTGCTTCCTCAGGTGCGGGTCAGTCTGCTCTCTCAGGTACCGCGTCGGCTCCGGCCTCTCACACCTTCACCCTTGACTCGGGGGCTTCCCGCTCCTTCTTTCGAGACCGCACCACACTCACGCCGCTTGGTCGGCCAGTTGCAGTCTCTCTGGCAGACCCCTCTGGGGGCCCTGTTCTTGCTCACTTCTCCACTGTCCTCCCGTGTCCGGCGGCCCCCTCTGGCACCCTGTCTGGTCTTTACCTCCCCTCGTTCTCTACAAACTTGGTGAGTGGTGCTGACCTGCAGGATGCGGGGGTTCACCAGTTCACTCCTGCGAGTCAGCGGGTGACCCACTGCACGGACGCTCGGACAGGCCGACACCTGGCCACGTTTACTCGTTGGCCGGGGTCGAGCCTGTACACACTTACCACTGCGTCTCCTCCAGTCCCTGCGTCTGGTCAGGTAGCTGCATCGGGTCAGGTGTTTGCTGCAGCGTCCAGGTCTGGTCCTGAGTCTGCCCCCTGCTCGTGTCGCCTCCTGTCTCACGAGACTCTCCTCTGGCACCACCGCCTTGGTCACCCCTCCCTGCTTCGTCTCCGAAGCATGGCCTCCCGTGTCCTTGTCTCTGGTCTTCCCCGGTCCCTCCCTCCCCTTCCTCCGGGGCCTGGCCCTACCTACGTCCCCAATGTCGAGGGGCAGCAGCGGGCTG